ATAAAATATGATGTAATTTCTATATATAAAATTTTAATACTTCTTATTTAATAAAAATAATTCAATATTGAAAAAGCGCTTTTCGTTTCAGAAATAGAACTGAGTATTTATAGCTAAATACATGGTTCTCGGAATCCAGTGATCATTGGCACAATTAATAAAAACGGTAATTATAAAAGTATCGTTTTTGATGTCTATAATCTTCAATTAATATAACCAATTTTAGGGAATAATGTGATAGGACAATTATCGAGAGTTAACCAGTATATTTAAATTTTATAGTTTTCGAAGGAACTAATAACAATATACATTAACATGTACTTAAACAGGTTTTATTGAGTCAAACTTAGTTTATTCCAGTCTGGTCAGACTTAGTCAATCCCAGTCTAATCAGACTTAGTTATTTTAGTCTGGTCAGACTTAGTCGATCCCAATCTAGGCAGAATTAGTTAATTTTGATCCCAGTTTGATCAAACTGTACTTAGAATACGTATTTAAAACTGGTGATACATCGATTAACATAGATTTAATCAGATTTTCATGTCTTGTAAGTAACGAGCAAAGAGTCAAAATATAAAGATGCCAGATCTGAAGTATGTTCTTATTATTTTGCTCTATTTTTTTTTTGTTAATATATTATATCTACTATCAATATTTATGCCAAATCAGACTTTTTAGTTATTACTGAAGAACATATTACTGCAGGCTCTATTATTTATCAAGCAATTTACATGGAAAGAACTGATCACAAGCCATGTAATTAATGACAGTTCAATCTTAGTACAGCTTATAAATCAAACGTCTAATATTCATGAAACATTTCAAAATTAGATTTTTATTCTTTACGGACAATTATGAAAACTTCATGCAATACAATTACTTAATTCATTCTAGAAGTAATTTATTGAAGAGAACAGTATAGAGAACTTGATGAAAAGAGAAGTGACATTGGACAAGAAGACTATTTTAATGAAAGGAAAAAGAAGATTTAAACCTTAAATAAGATAATTGGATTTTGTTTTTTTTTTAAGAAGTACTCTAACAGCCAATAGAGAAAATAAGTTTGACTATATAACTTGACAAAATAGTAGTAAGTATTATGTTATTACATATTAAAATAATAATGCCATTTAATTAGACAGTAGCATTGCACAAATGACATAATTTTCATTTTATAATAGATATTCAAAGAAAAAGTTTATATTTAAAAAATGTAATGATTATTAAGTTATATGTGATGACATTCATAATATATATTTTTTATAATTAATACTTTCTTTATTTCTCATTCGATTTTAGACATGAATGTAGCAATGATTGAAGACAAAGAGAGTATCAGAAAAGAAGCCATTTATCTTCTTTGAAAAGCAATTGACAAAAAAATTTCTTTGGTTGTTTATAATAATGCATCACACTCAGCAACCCTTATACTAAGTAATGGCATCACTTTCACTGATAATTTGGATATGCCAAGCATGGTACTCTTACAACAAAAGACTTTTTCAAGATTATTGAAGGAAATCAATTGCTCAACTAAGGACAATCCTATTGTAATTAATGATAATTATAAAACAATCAACTCAAATGATATGGCTAATGAAAAGAAACTTGCTAATGATAATCAAGTAAAGTGCTATTAATTTCACTTGATTTCTGACAGACATTCATTTATATTAATTAAAAGAATATGAGTTTCGAAATGGAAAATCAACCCGAAATTTTATCAAATAATGACCGTGGGCACATTAATAATGAGGTGGTGAGTGCTCCATCTATAACAGAGAAAGTTCCAATCATCATGTCAAATAACGAAAGTATTAGTAATAATAGAAAAATTCATAATGTGAAAATATTTGAGTTTTAATTATCACTTAAACATATACTTTTTTTTATTTAGCAAAATTGAACAGATGGAGTTAAGAGTTTACAAATGATATCATCAAATGCTGATGATATTTAGGTAAAAATTAATCAAATCTTAAAGTTTATAATAACCTAAGTCTAATTATGTTCCCTTTTATAAATAATCATATTGATAAAAATATAATTTTATTATAGAATAAACAAATAATAAATAATAGCAACAAGAAAAGAGATTTGCAAAATGACAACTCAGCCATTGAAAGCAAAGATGCATTAAGAGGTTGCTCACTATAGTCAATCTTCTCGAGATAAATCTGATAACAAATATATGCCAAGAATAAATAAAATTTTTAGAGTAGCAAAAAAGAAAAATATAATAAAAATAAATGTAATCAGTGTGAGGGTCTTTCAAAGTCCTCTCTAATATTTAGGTTTTTAAGGCTGGGGTGTAATAATTTGGTCCGAGTATCCTGCTCTTTCTCTACAAAATAAACTCAAATTCATCCATTAACAATGTGCATTCGTCTACTCAAACTA